ATAAAATCCTTACCTTAGATCATAATCATAAATTTTTCCCACAACTCAAACTTGAAAATTTTAAATTGTTCAAAACTTGATATATAAATGTTAAAGAACTCGAAAACCTGCAAAACCAAAAAACGTTCAACATAAGTAAAAATTACATAGTGAACTTGAATATTTTAAATCTTCACMYAATACATAAGAGTTATATTGCAAACAAAAATCACGATACAAACATAAATAAAATTATAATGCAATCAAAATCATGAAACAAATCAATATAAAATTATTACCTTATATTGCAACCAAAAAATCAAATATTGAACTCGAAGACTTTTTCAAATCTTCATGACATGCATAAAAACTATAATGCAATCTAAATAACGATAAAAACATACATAAAATTATGGTAGAAGTGAAAAAATAAAAAAACCTATGAATATTATTAATAGTAAAATAGAAGAAAAACCAAAGAGAAAAATAAATAAATTTAGAGATGTATAGGATTGAGATAAGATTTAAGAGGATGTGAGAGATGAAGATGAATAAATAGTTGTTTTTATATATAAAAATAAATGATTGATTGGAAAAAATGAATGGTTTGGAGTTATGTCATTAGATTAATATAGAAGGAAATGGATGGTTTGGAGTTGAATGCAAACATTTAAGAAAAAAAAAACATAAATTGACAAATAAAATATAGTAGTGGATATTGAGAGAATGAAGGAGAAAAAAGAAAAATGAGGAAGCTTTAGAAGAGGCCACCTCAGACATTAGTTAAAAAAAGACCTCTAAAATCCCAACAAAATTAAAAAGAATTGTATACTCGGATTAATCGTCTCGAAATAAACCTGAAAAAAAAATGTAACCATTAAAAAATGATATATTGAAGTTTGGTGATGCTACATAAAAAATTATAACAAAATAAACTTTAAAATATCAAAAAAGTATAAAAAAAAATGCATACACACATTAATTTTCTTAAAGTATACTTGAAAAAAAAATAATCATTACAAAAACATGTTGAAGTTTGTTGAGGCTACATTATGATATTGGTTGGTAGTACTTTCAAGATTCCATTATCAGATCATTAATCGAACCATTGTTGCCATGAAAACTCTAAAAATGTTGTCAAGAACAAACACTCTGTTTCATTGAGAAAACTTAGGACAATTATAGAAGAGAAAAGTAAAAAAAAAAATTCTAAAATCCCAACAAAAATAAAAAGGAACGCATACCTGAATTAGTCTTCTCGAAATAAACTTGAAAATATATTTGTTGAAAACTAACAATTTATGAAATAAAAAACAAATCAAGTGACGGAGATGGAGAAAAATAAATTGAATGATGAACAATTCATGAAAAAGAGTTAGAGAAAATGAAAAGATTATTTTAAATGCAAACATAAATGAATAATCAATGTTTATATAAATTTTAAAAAAAAGATTAAAGAAGGATGAATGAAAAAAAAAAGATAAATAAGTTTCTAACCTTTAGGAGAAGCCAAGTCATCAACTTTGGTTTCTCCTTTAATGTATATATAGATATAGACATACCTTTTAAAATCTTTGAATTCTTCTTCAAACTCTCACCTTCTTCATCCCTCACTAAAAGAATATGTAAGATTTCATTTTGTTTATTATTGAAACTCCGAAAAACAAATTTCATTAAGAAATAAATTAAGAAAGTAAATGAAAGAGCAAATCAATAGTTGGAGGTTATCTTGTGATTACAAAATATCAAAATTTTATTCGAATTTATATGATTCAATAATAAACACAAACATAATCTATGATAACAACAAATCCAACAATATTGAAAAAGAAATATGTAATAACAAATCACATTTTTTAATGAATATAATTTCTACATACCTTTCAAAATCTTTGAATTCTTCTTCAACTCTCATYWTCTTCATCCCTYACTAAAARAATTTGTAGGATTTCATTTTGTTTATTATTGAAACTTTGAGAAACAAATTTCATTAAGAAATAAAAGAAAGTAAATGAAAGAGCAAATCAAGAGTTGGAGGTTAAACTTGGGTATACAAAATTACAAAAAACCCCAATTAATTATGAACTATACATTTTCATACAGGGGTAGAAAAGTCTTTAATATATTCAACATTTAAAAAAATAAAAAAATTGAGAAAAAAGATAGGAGAAGTTCTAAGCATTAGAAGGTGCCACCTCATTATGCTTGGTTTCTTCTTTAATATATATATATATATATATATATATATATATATATAGATTTCATTATTGTTAACATTTTTAGTAATGAAAAATTAAATATTTTGCTAAATGTAAGAATCGAACCGGAGACTATAGTAAATCATGATTTAATCTAACTATCTAAACCATCTTAGTGGCTGTTTACCAAAAAATTTATTAAGTTATGTATGGATAAATTTGTCTGTCAAGATAAATTTGTCTGTCTAAATAAAAATGTATTGTTATTTACTTTTTTTACTGAATTAACCGTCAGAAAGATAGAAATGATCGTTTTACCCGTTAATACCAAAAATCATCATATTAACAGATTTATCAAAACATGAAGAAAAATCAACATTAGGTGATCCACATTCTAAAGGATACACCAATTGAAGAAAAACCAACAAACCCACATGTGAAAAAACCATTAAAAACCCAACTTTGAAAGAAACTTCAATTCGATTTTGGTGATGCATGGGAATCAAACAGGTAATGAAAAACATAAATAAACCTACATAAGGAAAACCCATAAAAGATTGATTGAAACTTACTTGAATCCCAAACTTGAAGAAACTTCAAATCAATTTTGGTGATGAAGGGGAGTTCAAATAGGTAATCGGTTTTGGAGAAGAGGGTTTCAATTTTGGGTATTAAGGTTTCGATTTTCGGCTCTTGTTCTTGGTGACGCGTCGAAGTCGAGAGAGATGAGGAGAGAAGCACCAATTTTGCAAAGGAGATGTAAGGTTTCAGTTTCCGAAGGAGATGTAGGTTTCAATCTTGGGAAAGAGATGCAAGTTTTGTTCTCTGAAAGGAAATGCAGGTTTTGATTTTCGGGAACAGATGCAAGTTTTGATCTCTGGAAGGAGATGTAGATTTCGATTTAGGGAACAACTGCAGATCTTAATCTCTGGAAGGAGATGAAGATTTCGGTCTGGAAGATGATATGAAGCTCTTGGAAAGAAAGAAACGCGTAAGGCTTTTTTTTTATTCCAAGGGCAGGGAAGGTAAATTTTATGGTTGAATGGGGACAAATGAGCCTACCTAGCTGTGCGAATAAGCCGATATATTTTCAATTAAGCCCTAAGTAAACACTCCATTATGGCTGCACGAATAAGTCGGTTGAGCCATTAAGCCCATTAAGTCACAAGTAAACAACCCTTAACCATGTCTGATATTGCTACCAATTTGGTTTCAAAATATTTGAAAACACCCATCAAAACCAAACAGATGTACCTTTCAAACGTCTAAATTATTTTCTCCTATTATAATTGATCGAGTGGGAGTATCAGAACCCCCTTGGTTCTTAACAAGTCCACCCCTGGATGAAAGGAGAGTCTCTCTACTTTACCCAAGTGTCTCGGGTTGCTCGCTTGAGAAGCAAGAGTTATCTATCTCGATTCACCACCAGATCATACCATAACATAACCTTATTCTTTCACAGTTAATCCAAAAGACCTACATGCTAACCTCGTTTTATATAAACATAAAGCTAGAGAAAGATCACAATAGTCATCTCATCATATATGCATCTACAATTCTGACAAAATGAAGTTATAAAGAACTATGGGGGAGACTAATTGCACCCCTTATACACTGATAAATGTACCCCTACCTAATACTCTTTTCTTTACATTTTCAGTACATGAATTAACCTGATTTTAACGCAAATAACAACCCCTATAACTATATATAAGGGTCTGTTTGTTTGGCTCTTAATGGTGACATTAAGAGCTAACCTCTTAATCGGTAAGAGGTCAAGAGTATTTGGAAAAAAAACAAGCTCTTAATGGTTATATTAACCTCTTAACCATTTTGCACCTAGAGCTTCACTAAACCATTCATATGTTCATTTTTCCAACTCTGCCCTCCGTTCTTCACATCGCATCCCCCCTCCATCACCGTCTTCCCCCCCTCCATTGTCGGTYCCACTCGTCGGTCTTCCATTGTCGGTTATCRGAAAAAAYGAGATCCATCTGCGACCTCCGACGAATGTACGGACCAGGAACTCCGGCGTTTAACACCCCTTTCATAACCCCACGATTCGATGTGTTCAATGAAGAAAATCTCGCCGCTGCAGTTCTAGCAACTACAACATCTCGAAACTTCGTCCATCTCCATAACCCAGACATAAATTGAATCAATAAACGGTTTCAAGAACTGGGATCTTTGTATAGTAGCAGACGCAAGTGCTATATAACTTGAGAATCATCGATCATGATCCATAAATTTATCCAAATTAGGATTATATGCGTGCGTTTCATACATGAAATTCAGAAATCGAGGCAGAAAAAGGGGATGGATTAAGGAATTAGACAAGAGAGTGAGCATTCGTGGGTGGAAAGCAAAGGAATCGTGAAGATGGGAACCAACAAGAATTGCTCTCTACTCCTACTGCTCTGTTTTCATTTCCCTTTTTTGAAATCGAGTGAGTGAAACCCTAATTTCTTTTTTGGTATATGTTAGTTCAATACAAAAACAGGACCAAAGCATACAGATGGTTAAAATGGTAATTTGTTGTCATTAAGAGAACATTTACCAAACAACCATATTTCATTCAACACTTAACCATTCTGACTCTCTTAACCATTCTGCATAAAACCATTCAGCAACTGCTAAAAAGCCCCTAACAAACAAATATATTATAATAATTATTTGTAAAAATGGGGTGATAGTGATTTGATGCATAGTATATTAATTGGGAGCACAAACGTCCACATGGATTCAGACGATTGGTTATGGATGACCCAAACAAAGCCCTAGAATACAAGCATCAATAATTGATCATTCTCCTAATCCCCTCTGTACTCTTGCTGGCAACAACACTCTCCTCTTTCCATTTTCTATTTCTAGTTCTATTTCTATATCCTCCGTCCAATTTCCCTTAAACCCTACACAAAAACATCAAACGCCTTGCTCTTGTATTCCAAAAACCCACTCCAAAAACAGACCAAACATGTTTAATCTTCAATCCCCAATTGTTTTTCTACTCTGGGTCCTCACGATTTCCACCATTGCAACTTCGCAAGAAACCACCACCATTTACCAAGTTCTTAAATCAAACGGGTTGCCAATGGGTTTGTTACCCAAAGGTGTAACCAATTTCACATTTGATGCTTCTGGCCGATTCGAGGTGCATTTGGATCAAGCTTGTAATGCCAAGTTCGAAGACGAATTGCACTACGACCGGAATGTTTCCGGAACGTTGACCTACGGTCAGATCGGTGGCTTGTCGGGTATTTCCGCCCAGGATTTGTTTTTGTGGTTTCCTGTGAAGGAAATCCGAGTGGATATACCAAGTTCTGGATTGATTTACTTTGATGTCGGTGTTGTTTCTAAGCAATTTTCTCTATCTTCCTTTGAAACACCCAGAGACTGCTTGGCTTCCCCAAATCAGCTCATCGCCCAAGCTGCTCTACCTAAGGTAATCCAACCACTCATCTTTTAACTTTGACTACGTTCTGTTATTGGGTTAGTAGATTTAACTGTTTCTGAATGGGGGTTTTAAATTTTGGATTGTAATGTGTCGATATGGTTTTGATTTTATTAGATTGAAGTTTCTTGTTCATGGGTTTTGGGTTATGCATCTAGTATTTGGAGCAAACACTTCAAGTTTATTGGGATTAATAGAGTGAAATTGAATGATGAAAATAAAAAAATCTTTGGTGAATTCTTGATGATTGATTTGAATTAAACATTCATGGAGTCATGACTCTGATGTTGAACTAACATTGGCAACAAAGTTTAATCTTTATTTGTTTTTATATGATATGCAGAATCTATCAAGAAAGCTCAGAATCAGAAAGAACGTTCATCAGGAACAGTTGATGACAGTTGTATGAATTCAAAGTCAGAGATGATTGAAAGTGGCACAATTTCTCAATCAAGTTATGGGTATTTCCATCTCTTGCACCTGCACTTTTCTTCAGAAAGTCGAAAAATCTGGTGTGCTTCCTTTTCGGTTTTCTTTGTATAGTGTAGAGTCTGCAAACTAGTCTCGAATGCCAGCTCCTGTCTATGCAACATTTTCACAATGGATTGAACTCGAAGAAAAACACCATATACAAAAACGCCATAGAAGCAAGTGACAAAGTGACCTGCTGCCATGATTCACAGAGATTCAGTTCTACATTGCTTAGATTCTTTAGAAAAACACACGGGATGTAAGTTCTTATACGCCAACAGAGGAGCAACGAATCAAAGGTTACAATCAGGTGATGACACAGTGTTTAGTTTAGAGTGTTGAATTCATTATGAATATGAAACATAAAACATATGTTGGGAAATCAATTATCTTTTTGTAGTCATAAGTTTCTTTGATAGAAAAAATAAGAAATAAATTGCATTCTTATCCCCTTTACCTTATCAATTTTGATCCCGTTACACAATACGCTAGACATTACATGGTGCCGTTTGATTGTAGATTTGATCAATATTAGCATACACAAATTGGGTTAGATTAGATCCAATAAGAACAACTACTACATGATGTATAGATATACAAGTTTTGAATGTATGGATGACTACTCTGTGTATCATATACAAGTGTCCAATTCATGAGTAAGATGGTATGTTGCTTGCAGATGATGTAGGAGTAGAATTTGGGAAGTGGGTACTTAGTAGATTTAGTCACCTACTTATGTTGGTAAATCAAGTTGGAAAATTTCAAGAAAATACATTGCCAATAGTTGGTTGGTTGGTTGGTAGGTGTATCTACCCTTCTCAAACTCTTTGAAACCTCTTCAAAATAGTTTACAAGTTTTCAAATGTAAAACTCCCTTATATATAACATTAACATATGGTAATTGAGAAAAAAGGGATCGTCTTTGAAAGTCATTTTTACAAATTAGCTTTTCAGGGTTTTTCAAGATACTACAGTGGTGGATTACATAAGGGGCTGTTTGGCAGTTGCCGAATGATTTGGTGCAGAATGATTAAGTGATCAGAATGATTAAGAGGCTCTCATATAGTTCAAAATGAAATATAATAGTTTGGTAACTGTTTACAATGAAATTAAGGCGTTGAATGGTTAAGGGAGACCTAGGATACAAAATCATTCAGAGGGTTTTGGAACCATTAAGAGGCATACTCTTTTTTTTGTCAAACAAGATTCACCTCTTAACGATTCAGAGTTTGCCTCTTAATGGAACTATTAAGAGGTAAACAAACAACCCCTGAGACCGGAAGCAGATCATTTTAAGGTTATGTTTTTGATTGAAACAATGAGGAGTTTAAGGTTATTAAGAAAGAATGTTAGTTGGGTGGGTAGGAGGAGATGGTTTAACTTTTGTTGCAATGTTTATAAGATATCCACATCATTAAGTAGAGGTAGATGCTTGAAGTGTACTTGTATCAATTATGACCTACTTTTGGGTCCAAAAATGTACTCTTGGTCTAGGGAATATGGATACATACAAGCATTGGTTGGACCACTTGCCAAATTGCAAAGAGTTGCAATCAACTACTTCTATTTCATAACAAAATGACCAAATTCAAATATATTTTTAAATATGATTCTTGCTTTGGGAAAACAATTATTTTAGCATAGGATTCGTTAAGGTTCGGTTTGAGCTTGTAATTGTCGTAGCAGTTGTTGATGCAACATAACTCCAAGGCTACGATGATTGACTTTGTAAATACTTGTATGCCCTTTTAAGGCTATCTGATTGAGACCGCTTGTTTTAGTTAGAAGAAATAAAAACTGTTAATATATTTATCAAAACTGTTAATATTTTTTTAGAAAACAATTGCCCCAAGCAAATGCAAGTGTGCTTCTTTTTGTACCAAAATTATGTACCATCCTTGAAATCTATTTGGATGGTTAATGGCTCAAATGAGAGAGGCCAAAAGGACCATTTTGGACTTAGACACCAGCTAGTGATCAATTATTTTTCTTAGTCAAAGATGCCCACATGGTAAATGATCATATGATCTCATGTATATAAATACACACATATGCATATACATACATACACATATATGTATATATGAAATTTCTTTTGAGAACCCATAAAATTGTAGTAACTTCGAGAACTTGCACATAATGTGTTGTTTCATATGGTTTTTTTCCATCTAAGACTAAGATTTAGCATATCGATTAACATATATTTGTTTCATAATGTGTTTGTTTTACATGTACTCGGTTCACAATGTGAATATTTTTTTTACGTGTTTGTGAAACAAAAAATACACGTAAATTTTTTCCACATTGTGAACCGAATACATATGAAACAAATACATTGTGAAATAAATATATGTTAATCAATACATTAAATAATATATTTCGACGGAAAAAAATCATGTGAAACAACACCTTAAGGTAGAAGTTTTCATAGATCTTAAATTTTTTGGGGTTTTCAAATGATTAAGCCCCTATACATATATGTACATGTATGTACATATATACATGCCCTATACATATATGTACATGTATATATGTACATGTCCGTTCTTGAAATTTTATGGGCCTTGGACGAGCGATACCTCCCACTACCAAACTGGTCATCTTTTCCGGCGGCCATATCCGTTGGAAAACAGAGTTTATGGCGGATTCCTGAGGATATGGCCGTCGGAAAATTAGGCGCCGGTGATTCTTTTTCCAGCAGATTTTTGGTTTTTCGGCGGAAAATGGCCGCCGAAAATTAGCCAACTTTTTATTTTGAGTTTATTTAAGAAAATCTTAATTAAGGGGTGTTTGGGATTGCTTATTTAAAACAACTTATGTTTTTTTGTAAAAGTGCTTATCAACTTATGTGGTATCAAACTGGAGTTAAATAAAACAGAGTTAAAATTGTAAACTGGTAATAAGCAGTTTTTCATAAGTCAAAAAAGATTTAACTTATCAAAAACAGCTTATCACCGGTTTGACACCGGTATAAGCAGTTTTTTTCCTTATCCAAACACCAGAAAACAGCTTATCACCGGTGCCAGACTGAAATAAGTTAAAAAACAGCTTTTATAAGCAATCCCAAACACCCCATAAGTTAAGAAATTATTAACAAGATTTAAAAAAAAAATTGAATTAAACTACCGGCCGGAAATTTAATTTAATTTTTAAAATTATTATTTTTATTCTTTAAACATTTCTGATGGATTTATTCGTCGGTAATCCATTGAAAAATCACTCAACTGCAGAAAATAATTTTCCTGTAAATATTTAAAACTTATAAAACATGTATTTAAAACCTGTAAATATTAAAAAAAAGACTAAAAAGATGAAATGCCACTAAATATCATACATTAAATTAAAAAACAAGAAATGTCTAATACAATTATCTCGACCAAATTAACACATAATTGTTCCAAACAAAAACTAAATTGTTCCAAAACAAACAAATATTCATTACTATGGCGGCGAGAACTGCTGAGATTGATTGAGCTGCTTGACTAAAGCAACCATCTCTTCAAGTTGTTTATCCCGTCTCTCATCCAACATCCGCCGACGCTCCTCCTCCTCCACCCGTAGAAGCTCCTCCTCCGTCCATTGATGCTCGTGTTCTTCCTGTAAATCTCTAACATGGGTCCTTAAGGTGTCAATTTTCTATAAAATAAAGAAAACGTTATAATATTTAATATGAATTATAAACTAAATCGATAAATATCATCAAAGGAAAAGAGACACACACCTGACTATCTGAAGACGATGGACCACCCTGTGTGTCAAGACCCAATTGGGATCCTGGTTGTATCCAAACCCAAATAGATTACTTTTCTTGCTTCCCCCAACCACCTGCTCCCACAACTTTGTATCAACTAAGGGATAGATGGAGAGATCATCGCCGTATCTCTGGGTGAGACACATTAAATAGTCATCTTATAGTTTAAAAAAATTACGAGTCAATTTCGACAACACGACGGTTGTAAATGGGACATTTCCAGCCAAAACAATCCTAACGTTTGCCCAACAAATGACAACCCAAACTAAATAGTGATACATACGAAATTTCTAGCCAAAACAATCCTAACGTTTTCTCAACAAATGACAACTCAAACTAAATAGTGATACATACAAAATTTCCAACTTAAACAATCCTAATGTTTGCCCAACAAATGGCAACCCAAACTAGATATATATATATATATACACACACACACACACACATACATACACATACACACACACACACACTTATATTTTAATTTAAACGACTCGAATGTTTGCCCAACAATTAATGGCAACTAAAACCAGATAGATAGTTACATACCCAATTATAACATTAAAAGATATAGATATTTACCATGACCTGGTTACACTTAGAGGTCACGTACCCCCCAGAATCCGAAGATGCGGCCTTTTCTTATGTGTATAATCGAACAATTACACAACGGTCGATGGCACGTCGTTTTTGCTTGTGTCTACAAAGGTATGGTAAACCGACTTAAGAAGACAAAAAAGTGAGATTTAGAACCAAGAAGTGAGATTTGAGAATTCAAATGTTGGAGGTCGGAGAAAAGTTAGGTCAATCCGTCAATACCGAATCGAACTCGAAAGATATAAAGAACCATGTTGGATCATTGACCAACATCTTCCTAAATCGAAATGTGGCGCTGACTGTTATGCTATAAGAAAATAAGTTGCGCCTTATCCACCAGCAGTTACTTTTGGCGTAGTGGTAAGCGCTTGGATCCTAACATGTGGTATCAGATAAGTCACAGGTTCAAATCCCATGGGGTGCATAATAATGCCAAAGGAATGTTGTGCAACATTGACTTCTAGCGAAGATCGTGTTAGTATTGGCAGATGCTGGGGGGGGGGGATTGTTGGGTCATTGACCAACATCTTTCTAAATCAAAACGTGGAGCTGATTGCTACGCTATAAGAAAATAAGTTGCGCCTTCTCCACCAGCAATTGCTTTTGGCGTAGTGGTAAGCGCTTGGATCCTAACAAACCAGACCGTTGCTGGAAATTGGAAGGTCGACATCGGCTTGAGCAGATTTCTCGGATACGTGCGATGCGAAGTAGAAGAAAGGAAGACGAAAAGATTTTCTTGGTTTCTCCATTGTCACGTCTTCAGTTTGAATAGTTTGAACTTCAATTAAGTTTGGGGTTGGGCCCAAAGGCTTTTGGTCTTACAAAGGTTGACTTAATTTTATAACACTAAACATTTTATAACATATACTACACAACTGTTTTTTTGGGCTCCTATTTTCCATGGACCCTGTATATGCATATTACATATGCATATATATACATACATACATATGCATATATACACACACACACACATATATATATATATATACATATATGTGCACATATATATATATAGGTTTGGGTTCACGTGAGACCAGTCTGTTTTCTTGAGACCCGTGAAACCATTTTTTTTACATTTGAAACTTCACAGTAAAACGCTGTGAAGTTTTAAAAAATCCGAACATACATGTACATGTATATGTATACATGTACATGTAGGGTTGTGTTCACGTGAGACAAGGCTGTTTTCGTGAGACACGTGAGACAACTTTTTTATATTTTGAAACTTCACAGCAAAATGCTGTGAAGGTAAAAAGAAGCCTAACCTTCACAACAAAAACACTGTGAAATTTACTTTCACAGCATTTTGCTGTGGAGTTTCAAGTGTAAAAAAGTTGTCTCACGTGTCTCACGAAAACCTCTTGATAGACCACGTTTGATGCATAGACTTTGCGATGATTGAATCTTTTGGTAGGTTTAACCAATACCTTTGTACTTCTTCATGATATACCTCCAGATAATGCCACATAAAGTTACCATTTGAGAATATTGATTCTAGTAGATAAACACATGCATTTGGAATCCTTTGTCCCATGTGAGAATACTGATTCTGGTAGATAAATTCCAAAATCGTTTGTCCCATGTAAGAATATTGATTCTGGTAGAAAATAAATGTTTTATTTCCCCCTTTAGTAAGATTTTAAACCAAACGTATCCATCTACTTGCTAGCGATTATTAAATGTTGTTTTGTCACCTTGAATTTGATCCGTTGAGCTTTCTCTATTATCTTTTAATAAAATGACATTATAGGTATTCAATTGCTAGTAAAATGTTCTTATTAGATTACATATAACAATAAATAAAACCGGATTATAGGTGTGTATTTGGTAATTATGGTAAATAGTAGACGCACTAAATTGAACCATCAAATATGAAAGGACAGAGTGATTACAAATGGAACACAATAATCTAAAAGAAAAAATCGATATTGTTTGATGTTTTATCATTTGATTCCACAAATTGGGTTTAGAGATGCAAAAAAAGCCCAAACCTAAAACCCCGCTCAAGCATAGGCACTACCTAAAAAATATTGGCAACAGGTTCGGGCCTAGACCTTACCTGAAAAACCCTGGTTAAACTAAAAGGCCCGATACAACCATTTTTCAACTCTAAAGCCCAGTCTAGCCATAAAAAGCCCAAGCTTTTGAAAGCGGCTTTAGACGGCCATAATCCAGTCTTGAAAAAACCCAAGCCTTGTACATATTCGTTTGAGTTTATTTTCTTTCACCTGCATGATTGATCCCATAAGTTGGTTATGTTTTATTTTGCGGTCTTTAAAGAATTTACTTAATTAGTTATCTACTTAAAATATACACTTCTAATAAATCTTACAAACTTCAACACTATGTTCTCTAATAAATCTTACAAACTTCAACACTATGTTCTCTAATAAATCTTATAAACTTCTATTTTCTTTTTTTTCTTTTTTCCCTTCTCCTGCTGAGAACACAAATAAAAAATTTATTTTTCTTTTCTTTTTTTTTCCTTTTCTCTTCTTCCCAATTTAGAGAACACAAACGTGACATTTCAAGGAATAAACTTAACCCATAAAAAGTTAAAATGTTGAATACAAAAATGTTTGGAAATGAAGCACATGGTGGACCAAAACTTTGTCCCGCTTGCGTGAAAAGTGTCCATTGCGTTGTTTTCAACACATGAAAAGTCTATCTTTCCGATTTGGCTTCTTGCATTTAGGCTTCACCAACGACTCATGCCTAATGCCTTCTTTAGACATTTTTATGTTTTTATTAATCAATCGGTAGAAGTGCGAGTGTAATCCATATAAGTGGATTCTGGGTTCGAACCTGGGTACGGCTCCTTTGCCAGTGGGCTGCATAGGTTGATTTACGTTCCCCATGATGACCATGGATCGGCGTTTTTACATTCAATGACAATCTGATGGTTAATTTGCAACAGAGAACTAAATACAACAATTAGGATCGAATCTTAGAGTTAAGGAATCCTTTGAAAAAAACTAAAACAGGCATTTGGTATGCAATGCAATTAAGGAAAGGAAAACAAGATGCCATTTCCATCAATACAAATACAATTCTATAACTATATACACCAACAGTTTGTTTTAGGAAATCTGCACTTGGACTGATGATCATCAACCAACCCCAACATCATACAAAAATTTAGTATTAGTGCAGTAAAAAGAATAAAATACAGAAAAAGAATATTTTTTAAAGTACACTAGACTTATTCAGTCTGTTGATGATTCAGACTCGGTATCATATGTTGTGGAGTTTGAGCTTGTCTCGAGTTGATTTCCACTATCACTGTCTGATGATCCACAGGGTCTTTGATCTTCCATTGGCTGTTTGAAGAACCAGTACATTATGCTTGCTGTTAACGTCAAGATCATCTTCTGGTTTACCTGATAACATATATATTACATCATGTTCGAGGTTAATTATGCACTTGTCAAGATTTATTCAGTAAAAATCAAGAAAGAAACGAATAGAGAGTGTCTAATAATGTACCTCAATTATGTCTTCAGGTAGCAAAAAGATTGAACACCCGATTTTCCTGGCTATACTGATGATATATGTTGCATTCATTTGTTTCTCCTCCTCTAGAATTTGATGGAACCAAAAACAGTCTCGTGTAAGTTGTACCATTCATAAAAGTTGCACCAATTTATCTATTGACTTTACAAATCAAAATAAAATGATGAAACATGTACTTCAAACTTGTGTTTGATCTAGTATATGGGGGTGGTGGTGGTGGTGAAGTTAGCAAAACAAAGAAAAAGTTGACGAAAAGCATACCAGACTGGCCTTTGGTAACGAGTCGCCAGTTAACAACCCGAGGCTGCACAGCACTAAGTAGTTCAAGGAAAAATATGCCATCTGATAAACTCTTATCCTGCAAAACCAAACCATTTCCTTAGAGCTGACAGTATCAAGATGATGAATTTGTTAACAACTATCCATATATGAAGTCTTGTTTTAATTGTGCTTTGAACCTACAAATATTTACAATTACTGAAAATAGTAAATTCTGAAAACTACAGAATGAAAATATCAAGTCTAGTGTGTGAACAAATATATACAGGCATCTGATGTGATACCTTGAAACTCTTCATACAACTCTGGCTTCCCGTACTCCTGACTTTGGTGTTAGCCCAGTCTAAAATGTCAGCATCAGTGAATTCCTTCCCGAGTGAATGTGATCTTAAGTACTTTAGAAGCTGTAGCATGTTGAATCGCATCAACTGCCATAAATAAGCTGGAGACGATGTACAGTTACATTTTCATCAGATATTATAGGTAACCAATCGTTTTGAAAAGAAATTGATCCAAAAGATCTAAATACAGGATAGAGAACTAACCCAGTATTAACTTTTTATTCCCCTGAACAATATCATTTCCAGCAATATTGACCAACGAAAACTTCAACTGTTTCCCAATTTTAACAACCTGGTTACAGTTTTCTACTTTTCTGAACGGCATCTTAATTGGAGGCTTGTTTGCAGTTTTCCAATTAACAATTCCTGGTGATACCTTGTCAAGTGCCTCCAATAGTACCCACCTGAAATTTTGGATAAATGTTAGCAAACATAACACAAACAATTATCAAGTTTACCTACCATAGGGATTATGACATGAATAACATTTAGCTTTGGAAAACCTTCCACCTGTCCACCACTAAAATATCAAGTTTACCTCTTCATGACAAAACACCAAGCTTCAAAGATGAAGCGGAATTTTTGCCTAGAGGCATTTCTGAGCAATAAATAATATTTATAGCTTGAAGTTGATTGATTATGTTAAAAATCCCACATCGGTCAATATATGTTGGAACCTTTCTCTCCTCAAGTGCTCTTTTGGAGAGTAATCTAATGGGCTTCCACATATTCGTCCATGGTATCAGAGTCAATGACTACCACTCTGGCCTCCTCTCAACATTCTTAGATAAATGCGCCTGTCTAGCATCCACCGGAGAAGTGTTAGAGTTACATATCAGCTAAACTTAGACCATATCTTCTTAATATATGTTAGAATCTCCCTTCTTGGGCTCATTTGGAGAGAAAGCTAAAAGGTTCCCCATATTCTCACAAATTACATCTGCGCAATTAAGATGATGATTGTGGAGTCCATCATGTATAACATTTAGCTTTGGAGAACATTAGGAGTAAAACCCAATTCTCAACTTTCACTTGTCCACCGCTAAAATGTCAAGTTTACCTCTCTATGACAAAATACCAAGCTTCTAAGATAAGGTAATAGAATATAGTTATAGCTTCAAGTTGATTACATGTTTGCAATCCAGATGATACTCACCCATTTCTGACGTCTTCAAAGACATTGTTTATGTATGTTGCAACTCCAAGACTATTTATCCAGAAACGAAAAGCACTTTCTTCTCTGGTAATTTGGGCTTCATCTGGTGAAATTTCAAGAAAGGATACTGGTTTTTCTGGGGTTGATAGCCCATTCCTGCAGGAAAAAAGTGTATAATTATTGCAGTGGAATCAACTACAAACTTTACTTGCAGGAGAAACCTGAAGGATTCAATGGAACTGGAAGGTCAGAAATAAACATTGTCGTGAGCTATGGGTCATGTGGCTACGTTCATAGAACCTGGCATTGGACAGTGTTATTTTCTTTTGGTCCCCACATATGAATTTTTTTTCCTACATCCTATGTAAGCATTATAGAAGTGAAAATTTTATATCACTATGAAGCTAAATGATCTTCTTTTACTAACCTAAATGTTCACACCAAAGGTGCTTTAAATTAACCAAAAGTTTCAAAAAATTCATTATAGTACACTTTTTGGAACAAAAGGTGGTAGACTTGATGTTCTATGTAATCCACACATTATGGTTATTTTGTAGAAAAGAATCACATTTAAGTAAAAACTCACCTGTGCTGGAAAATATGAGCCACGAAAGCAAGGTTAAGGTTGGGAGAACCTTCTACAATGTCTTTTGCCGTCAAGTATCTCTTACAACCCATCCTATCAGCATGTTCAAGAACTAATGTTGCTCTCTTTAAAGGATCTCTAACAACCAAGGTTGATGCATTACTATGCTCGGGAGCAAGAACATTTAAGAGGTAGGCATAAGCCTCTCCGTCCTGCACAAAAGAAATATAGACTCACTACCAGCCATTTCTTCATCTATACAATGTAAATTCCTAAGATTTGCTTAGATTTAAGAGATTACAACAAAGGTTGACTAAGAAGTGTTCATTCTTGATCAGTACAAAAACAAGAATCCGTAAAGTAGTCTCCCCTATCTTAAAGGGAATAGGGATCAGCAATATTAGTAATCTCATATAGAATCATGAAATTTTGAATTACATGCTATCCAAAAAGCAAGAATAGTGAAGATGTGATATTTAAGTGCAAGGATAGAAGGATTGAATCTCTTGATACAGCAGAGATTTGGATCTTCTTTGAAACTAAGAAAGGAAGCCAGATTTTGTGTCTACACTCTACACTACAGTACAGCTTTCGGAGACATGCCTGGTTATGCAAGTATGCAACATCACTGGTTAAAAGTATAGGGTATAACCATCGATTACATACTTCAAACCGTTGTTTTTAGGTCCAACAACTCCAACCATTTTAATATTTGTGGGTTTGGCCCTGACCCAGTATTAGGTGTGCAAAGTAGCATATCAAGAACCAGCTGTCACTAAACCCCATGGAGGACATTATAGTGTACCTTTACATCGGAAGAGAAGTTTGTCACTGTTTTCTTGTATTCTGTCTTCTTTAGATGAAAATTCATCCATCGAAGCAAAATCTTCTCTGGTGGTAGACTCATAAGTTCCTCCACATCCTGATGATATAAATAAGGAACAACAGGGTATTAGACAAATCTTCTTCCCATCGTATTCCAAAATGAAAGCAGCACTTTCCTTCGTAATAGTAACTCAGAAAGTTTTTGTGCTCTTGTATTTTGGAAGAGATGGGGTGTGTTCATTGCAGGAAGCACATCCTATTGAAAGAAATTTTCATCACCTGATTATCACCAACCAATTCTACCAACTGAGGTGTTTTCTTCAAATCGAGGTCTGCCAGTAATTGTATCTGAAGGAGAATGCATTACAATATTCAACCTCCAGCAATCAAATTTGATTAAATCCATGGTTCTATAATGCTTTGAGTTGTAATCTAATATCTACCTGATTAAATTTAAGATTCTAAAAAGTCAAAGTTCTTGGACAAGTTAGTCATGAAATAAACTTACCTTTATTATTTGAGATATCACTCCAAGCACAAGATGCCTCTGAAACAAAGAAAATGTTGATCTTAATATACCAAAAGAAATGTAATGGCTAGTTTGGTCAAGTTAGCATGAAGATTGTAGGAGCATCGACTTTTAAACAATGGCACAATTTGGAGAAATAGAGAAAGCAATAACTATTGATTGATCATATAGCAAACCGTCCTATTAAGTTCTATAAGATAGTCATGCAGCTAACAAAGTTGAGTCAATTAGCCAGACCCACACACTGTGGAAGATTATGAAAAAATGTCTTGCATAATCCATACACTGAATGAGCACAAAGGAGTTAATCAAACATGTATTACTAAGAAGCAAGTTGCATTCCGGATGATATATAGACTAGTATTTCAGGGAATCGTTTACGATGTATGTGTATCACAGGCCTTGGAGCATCAATTAGAATGACTCTTTTTGTGAAGAAAAATAAAATGAAATTCTTAGTAATGGAGATCAGTAATTTGTACATAGGTTAGCAGTCTCACAACCTTCATAGTTTTTATTTGATATCTTAAACAAATAGTATGGTTTCGAGACTTTGCCCACAAATTGCATCATTATAGATGATAGAAGTAACATAGAAGATTGCATGGAACTGTGAACAGGCAAATTTACTTCTTGGATGCATCAAAACAGTTGTTTTCTTACAAGAAATTTCTTGGATATCATTATGAACCAAAACACCCAATTGGCATACTCACCCTTCCTTCAATGAAGTCCTGCGTTCCTATGTTGACCACAGTGCATCCTATTGCCTTGGCAGAATTAAGGCCTAGGGTGTGATTCTCATTTCTCTCCCATGGATTAAGAACTGTCTTAGTATTAATGGCTCTTTCATCAATTGTCCCTGGGACTGCCACATTAATAAGCTTACTGCATCAATTAAAGTAACAATCTCTAGTTAGCAAAATCAGTAGCATAAGCCTATAAATTAATAGCAACATGAGGAAACAGCTTAGGTCTGAATTTCACCAGATAAGAACTCCATCTTTTGCAATCTCAAACAGATCATTCGTTGAAGGATCAATAGGAAGGAACTTCTTCAGAAAATGATCTTCTCCAAGGTAATTATTAATGTGTCCAACATAGGAAGCTTTCTCAGATTCACTAATTGTGTGAAGCAGTGTAGATGTGGGAGATTTGAGGAATGCTGATGAGTTTTTAGCCCCCTTTCCCATCCTTGAGGTTGCATGGGCTTGAAGATTCAAGTAAACCTGTCATCATATAAAGTACCTACTTATCGTAAACAACAAACAGATCCCAGTATTATAGCTGTCAAAATAACTATAAATTTAATTTCTTCGATCACAACGCATCAAATTCAAATTTGATTAGATTTAACACAAACCGGAAAGCATCGAATTAATGTTTCTCACCTTTAAGGGATGGGCTAAATGCACTATCCATTTTACTATGTGAACCACCCATGTGAGAGGAGAAAGTGGATGTGAAAGTGATGTGATAGTCTTTTTGTGAGAGGGAATAAAATTTAAGATGATAAAGAGATAGTGCATCAAATTCAAACTTGATTAGGTTTAGAACAAACCAAAAGCGTAGAATTAATGTTTCTCACCTTTAAATGCCTAGAATGGGGCGTAAATGAAAAGACAGATATATAACTACTGGTTTTATTTAACTGTAAAGTTCATTACTTCACGTGATGAGGCATAACAGTTGTTTAATGCTTTACTTCAAATTAATAATTATTAGGTGAGAGAGTGAAACTGTGTAAAGCTTCGTTCTCCTTTATGTTCTATTCACATAAATAGTAGTACTACACAGATTCAAATTCATGATATTAATAGAAAATATGATTTTCAAAAAGAAAAATACGAATTATGTAGATCTATCATTTCTGTCTACTGATACACACCCGCACATGCTCTGATGTGCACTAAACCATCTCGATTGCTAATCGGACTCAAATTCATGGTTACTAATGCTTGAAAAATCATGTAAGTAGATCAAATAAAATTCAAAATCTATGAGCATGCGTTTGAACAAAAGCACCCATATATTTATGAATGTATGTAAGGTTTGTATATTTATTCACCCGAAGAAAGAGTTCGAAATCAACTTCATCGCCCAAATTCTGATAAGAATCGTGAAGAAACGCAGCTCGTTCTTCCTCCGTAAGATTCTCGCCAACGTTTTTCAGTTTTGACATTTTCGATGGCAAATCACCAAGCGTGAGACTTCGACTTTCCCTCCTCATCGTCATAAACTGATCAAGAAGTAAAAACCAGAAAAGCAGCTCCTTCTCATCAGACCAAAAAAAATCTCAAACACAAAAAGTCAGATGCAATGAGATTACACACGGATTTTGTTTTGTGACAAGATCTCAACATCTTATGATAAAGCAATGAACCGATTAACATGTGAATCTTAGTTACTTACATGAGATTTCAAGCTCCGAAGCTCGACTTGTGTAAACTGATTCTGTAGCCATGGATCTGATACCAAAACACCAAAGTAATTACCGGCCATGATTGTTAATCTCTTATCTGTTTGATTACGAACTGAAAGCAAACTTAGAGGAAGAGGAAGAGAAAAGATGATCTGTTTTTTCTCTCTCTAAGGGACTGAAACTCTCACTATATCAGGGGACGCAGAGGCCAAACAATGGGGACGGAGCCGAGCTGTCAGATTTCGAAAAGCGTTGTTTAGAATTCAAATTATGACGATTTTGTCCCTGTTGTTTAACCGCTACTCCTTTAATCTCATCATGACGTCGAGAAGCCTACTTGAAATTAATTTATATTTTTTGAATTAACTACAAAAATGGTCCCTAAACTGTTGTTTAACTTTTCTTTTAGTCCTTTAACTAATTTTGGTTTCCATTTTCAGCTGTTGAATTAAAAATATCTTCTCAAACTGGTTCAACTTTTGGTTCAGCTTATGAAAGCATCACTAAGGGGTTGTTCGGTTCGTTTTCTGTTAAGATTTGTATGAATATAATTGTCTGTATTGATATAGTTGTCTGTAAGTTAACAGATAAATTGTTGTTCGGTTGTTGTGCTGAATAAACAGTTTGAATGTCACAAATGATCATTTTACCCTCAGTCTTTATTTTTGTCTGAATAAAACAGCAGTTTTATAAAAAATGTTGAACAAATGATTTATAATTATAAAAATATCAATTTAATTTTTTTTAAATAAAAACAACTTGATTAACATAATTATATGAGTTAAATGTTATAATCAAAACAACATTAATAAGTCCTTAAAATAAAAACAAGTCAACATCATAGTTTGGATACAATTTAAAATATCAAACATTTGAAGCTAGTCTATTTGTAATTTGAACACATAAATTAGCTGTATATTGTGTGCTATTAACACCCCATTGTGATCCATCTAGTTCCACTTCTCTGCTTCCAACATCTTCTTCTTCATTGGTGAAAATAGTGTCTTCGTTGTACTCCATGAAAAGTTGATCTTGAATATTACATTTTCTTATAAAGTTGTGTATCGCGAAGCAAGCACTGACCAAATTTCTTTGTTTTGTAAATGAAAAAGGAGCCATTTGCTTCAAAATTAGGAATCTAGCTTTCAAGACACCGTAAGCTCACTTAATGACATTTCGAAGTTGTGCATTTGCATGATTGAACTTTTCTTCTTTAGTTAAAGCACATTTACGTCGATAATCTGCTAACCAATACCTTGTGTTATGATACAGAGATAAAAATCCACGAGCATTAGAATATTCAACATCACAAAGATAATATTTATTTGCAAGCGAAAATTGATTAGGCAAACATTAGGCAAACATGCAAACATTATTTCAAATTAAAAAAATATAAGTAAAATGATGTATACCTTCAGGTGGAAAAGGAAAACCAGAATTTGGGTTAAATGCAACTTCAATTAGTACTCTAGAATCATGCGTAATGCCTTCCCATCTGGCCCAAAGAAATGTGAATATCATATTGAAATCACAAATGCCTAGAACATTTTGGTAGCATCAACCACCTCCTCCTCCTCTATATGCAGATTGATGACTAGCAGACACGACTGCATGTATGAAAGTCGCACCTAGTGTACCAATTGCACCCTTCATTGATGAAAAATGTTTAAAAATGTTAAGAATTTGTACTTAACTATAAAAAAAAAGCTTACCGGAAATATTTCTATCAAATGACTTTGTCGATTTGACATAATCTCTGTGTTTGTTTCAGACGTTGCTGGACATACAATTTCTCTCACAGACTTCATCATTCCTTGTAGAAACTTCATGAAAACAACTATGGACAGTGTCGATAGAATGTTGAAATCTTCGTTTGATCACTTTATAATGTTCATTATGTCTGATCATTGTAAAAAACATAGCTACTTTCTCCTCGACACTTACAATTTTACCATATTTACCAAGCCCCTTTGTTTAAAGTGATTGCATAGTAATACATATGCTTCATAGACATACGCATGAACTCCTAACATTGCAAACTAGATCCATGTAGCAACTCGTGTGTATGCATGTTCACTCATAACCGAAGTGTTATCTCGTAAGGCTACAAGTAGGTGGTGGATGCTTTGGGCTATTGATGTTTAGGATTATGCTTTCTTTTTTGTTATGTTTATGATACATTTCCAATGGCTTTTTTTGTTGATGTTTATGACGCATTTCCAATGGCTTCTTTGTTGATGCTTGTGGTACATTTCCAATGGCTTTTTTTGTTGATGCTTGTGATACATTTCCAATGGCTTTTTGTTGATGCTTATGATACATTTCCAATGGCTTTTTTTGTTGATAACTTTGGCCATTGATGTATTTGGAATGGTTGGTTTAGTGATATTAGGTTTTATGTTATCAAGTTGGTTTTATGATATTTGGTTGATGTTTGAAAGTTGTTCTAAAATTATTTTTGCAATTTTAGATATATAGATGATGTTTACAAGTTTGATTTACGATTATTTTTGCAATTTTAGATATGTTGACTTACAATGAAGAATGTTTGTTCGTAACTCTATTATTTTGGTATTAAGATGAAGAAGGAATTCTTCAATAATTCCTTTTTGGCGGTTGTGAATCAGCTGTTTGTTCCATACCTAATTGGTTGAAATCAGCAAGTCGGAAACATATAATCGGTGAAAACACATAAGCAAAGACATATACAAATAAGCAAAAACATACATTTACAGGGTGCTGGTGGAACAGGCCCCATGGACGTGCAAGTGTATACAAATAAGCAAAGACATATATCGTACATCAAAACATATCAGGATAAGCAAACATATCACAAACAATCAGTACATCAAAACAAAAAAGAATGGAAGTAGTATATAGGTATATCCATCATGCTATACTTATCCATGAACTTCATTTGGCAATGATGTTGACTGTTTCAGAAACAAACAAAGTGTGTATTTTGACTGTTTCAGAAACAAACAGAGTGTGTATTTTGACAATGACTCTTATGAATCGCCACTAACAAAGTGTGTATTTTGATTGTTTTAGAAACAAAAAAGAATGGTTTTTTCTACTTGTGGCAGATGAACATAGAAAAGCTAATGAAGATGGTTGGTTCTGTTCTCACTGGTTCTATTCACTAATTAAGATGGCTGGTTTTGTGTATTTTGACTGTTTTAAAAGGCCCCATTTTGCATCACTCATACAAAGTACACATTCTGTATCACTCTACTTGTGGCAGATGAATGTAGAAAAGCTTTCTATTTGTTGCAATGATATATCATATGATGAACACCTCGTGATTACATTTGCATCACTCATACAAAGTATAGATCCTTTCTAAATACAGATCGAGAGGTTACAACAGTCAAAATACACACTCTGTTGGCGATATAGTCAAAGTACAGATCGAGAGGAAATACATTCAAAATACATACTCTGTTAGTGGCGATTTGTTGATCCTCTCTCTCAGTGATTTGATGATAATCCCTTTTTCCTTTCGATGTATTTCTGTATCTGTAATTTCAGTTCTAGCGATCAATACAYTGAGCATGTTCAGTGATCGCTGAAGAACTTGTTTTGAAATTCATTCAGAGACAACGATACTTCAAGAAAACAACACTCACACCAAAGAT